CCAAGGTCTGCGGCAATAATGTTTGCTTCAATACACCCTCCAGAATATTTTCTCGATAACATTCGGCATTTATTCTGATGCGGAGAACGACCATTGGCTGTTATGGCGGCTCACACCATCACCATGGCCGGCGCTTGAGTTCTGGTGGCCAACCGAAGGTGCACATTTTCAGCTGACCTCTTTGGCAAGTAAACATGATAATTTTTGTTTGTTTACAAACTGCTGGCCAACGAATATTTTCTCAACGGGGAAAACCGAATTCTGCACTTCATCACTTTCGGACAAGCGAACCAACTCTTAAGCTCTTTTAAGTTTATTTTCTTTCTGTTGCGGTGTAAGTTTTTGCACCTTTATACCCACCACCATACTATGGAGGGTATATTAACTTTGTCATTCCGTTTGTAACTCCTCGAAATACTCATGTCATACCCAACAAAGTATATATATTCTTGATCAGCGTACAATTCTAAGTCGATTTAGCAATGTCCGTCTGTCTGTCCGTCGGTCTGTTGTAATCACGCTATCTTTCGAACAAATTGAGATAGAAGGCTAAAATTTTGCACACATGTTTATTTAGTAGATAGGTTAAGTTCGTAAATGGGCCATGTAGGTCCAATTCGAAATGTGTACTACAGCCTAAGACAGAAAAGCGTCTGTGCATGTCCACGTCTTCGTATCGCCCCATATAACCGTACCTCTCGATATTCGGTATTTTGATGATTTTATCCACATTATTCACCAGAATTGCTTCAAATTTGGTATGTGAAGTCATGCACAGACGTCTTCGTATAGCCCCGTATAATAGTACCTCCCTATATTTGGTATTTTGATGATGCAGGTCCACGTCGTCGTATAGGCCCTAATATAATTGCTACATTCAGTATTTTTAAGATTTTAACAGCATTTTTAATAGATTTTATTCTTTGGAAAATTGACAAATTCGTTTCAAATGGTGGAGGGTATTCAAAGTTCGGCCCGCCCGAACTTACAGCTTTTTTACTTGTTTGGAATTTTAATGGCTTTATCCCGAGCTCATTTTTCAATATATGCGAATGGAATATTGCGATATGTTCAGTTCACGAGCCATTTTTCGGCCACTGCGACGGGGGGTTTCGATCAAGTCGCTTCTTCTCGAACCATTTCTGCTGATATTGCTGTTCTGCTGTTTTCTTCCGTCTACTTCCTTGACGTGGGGCTACGCTACCAGTATCACAGTAACGAGCAATGGTACGAGACACAAAAGATTTATTCACATTTAAATGCTGGAGTGCTCTAACGATAGCCACTTGTGGTTTTCCAGCCAAATATAAAGAAATCACACTATCACGCTTGAATTCCATCACGAATAACCTTTTTTCTGGAAAAATTCTCACCTTTGTACGCTTGTAAAAAATATAATGAGCTGTCTGTGGAATAATTTTAACAGCTGTCAGACAAGTGGCTTAGAAATGACAGTAATCTGAAATTGGTTGCAGTTTTTTCATCTCACCCTGCATGAACCCATATTTTGGGCCTTCTCTCGTCTGATCCGTCTGTCTGCCCATGTCGCATATGTTTGTCCCAAAGACGAATCCTATTTCAGATTTGGAAAGTCCAGATATATATCTTCGTCCGATTTCAAGTTAATAGTGTACCAAGTGTGCAATATCAGGCCACAAAGGGTAGATTTATTTGCTTAGACCCTAAGCAAATATCTCAGATGACGGTAAATGTGGGTCATACGTTTCGTCCAATTTTATATTAAAACCTTCTCAACGTAATTATGAATGTTACAAGAGAGTTACACATATCAGAAACAACGCCTCCATCAAAGTTTGTTTGGTTCGATTCAGATCAAAGTTTAATTCGTGAAATCCTAATTGAAAATATCATGGTCCGACTTTTGTCATTTCCTTATTTTTTGTCTGGTTTTGATTCGAAATTAGTTTTACAAAACCAAAGACGTGGACCTACAACGAGAAGTACTTACAGCGAAGCACTCTAATTGTTCTATAGCATATATAAAGTAGCCATTTTAATTGTATAATATATTGAAATATTTTCAAAGGAACATTTTTACTTTTTCTTTTATTCGATGTACTTTTACATTTAGTTCATGTCGAAATATTCCATAATCAATATTTTCCTTGGTTATTGCCCTCATAAAAAACCATCCAATACATTTTGCCTATAACCAAAACCCTAACTACATTTTATCTATTGAGAAACATTATCCGAAAAAGTACATCTGCTTATTGTGTACAATAACAAAAATTTATGCCGCCTTAATCATATTTTTATTATCCTGTACTTATTGAAGTAGCTTAATTCTCTTTGGTATATTTAATAAATATTTTACTTGCAAACGTTGAATATTCTTGCTCGTGTGTGTATGTGTGCCATCACCAAAGTGTAATTCTTCGAATCAATGTTTCAATCTCTTTTTCATTACGCAATAATATTATAAAAATCTCAATTTTGGGCCACGTTAAGTCTTTGAACAGATCCCTCCTCATTCCGATGGGAAATAAAATGTGCTATTAAAATGTATTTTACTAAGAACTCGGTGTAAACCACACTCGTACACATTCTCGTAAATGCCAACAACAACAACAACAGAGCATCAACGACAGCAACGTTTAGTGAATTTTTGTTTATTTACGTTTGACAAATCCTTCCATAAATACCAGCTTTCATGATGTAATTTATGATTTTGTTCACAGACCAAAAGTTTAGCCAAGCATCGAGCCGGAATGTTTATGAATACACGGAGATTAGAATTGGGTTGGGAATTTTCCTTCCATGGAAAATTCTGCAATGTGTTGTTTAACACTCATTTAGACCGTACTTATAAAGTTTTGCTGCAGAATAATATTATTTGTAAAAATTAAAAGTATAAGCCTGGACACGAGGCAGCCGCATGAAGTCAATTAAGCATTTTATTGAAAAAAAAAAGAATATTGGGCTATATAATCTTCATAAGTTTCTCGCAGTGTAGTATAAAAAAATTCTAATATTAACAACAACGAATGTTAGGCACACTTCAAAAAAGAGTTGGAATAGATTATTTTTCAGACACGAGTAATACAATTTGAAGATAAAATTTAACATTAGTTTTTATTTTTTTCAGATTTTATTCTCAGAATATTTTTAAGTTAGGGCAGGATTAGAAGTTTAGGTTGCCAAATTTTTGTAGCCTACAGCACTATGTGTTGGGGGGTATTATAAGTTTGGTTGAGCCAACATTTTCAGGGTGAGATGAAAAAACTGAAACCAACTTCAGACTGCTGTCATTAGGATAGGATTAGAAGTTTAGGTTGCCAAATTTTTATAGGCTACAGCACTATATGTTGGGAGGTATTATAAGTTTGATTGAGCCAACATTTTCAGGGTGAGATGAAAAAACTGAAACCAACTTCAGACTGCTGTCAGTTCTAAGCCACTCGTCCGACAGCTGTTACAATTATTCTAGTGACAGCTCATTATATTGTGAGAATTTTCCAGAAAAACATGTTATTCCTGATGGAATTCAAGCGTGATAGTGTGATTTCTTTATGTTTGTCTGGAAAACCTTAAGTGGCTATCGTTAGAGCACTCCAGCATTTAAATATGAATAAATCTTTTGTGTCTCGTGCCATTGCTCGTTAAGATTCCGAAAGTCTTCATATTACAAATATCAATATATTTGTACTAAACCAAGGTCGGGTATGAATATGGTATATATCGGTCCACTACCTCTGGTACCTCATCCACAAAGGGTCAACATTTAGAATATTGATGAAATTCATACAACGCGAAATTAATATCCAATTCCATTTAGACTTGGCATATCCGAATATTTCCATCAACACAAAATGTTTTAGAAAGATGGTAGAGATCGCACCATTCCTTCTGATACCTCCCCCACAAAAGGTCAAAGTTTTGAATAGCCAAAGCGATTATAAAATCCGAAATAAGAATACGGTTCTCTTCATATTTCACTGTAAGGATTTGATACATCGGTCCACTTCTGGTACCTCACCTACAAAGAGAAATTTAAATCCGATGCCATTAAGACTTGGTACATCTCAATATTTCCATCAACACAAGATCTATTATTAAGATGGTGGAGATTGGACAATTCCTTCTGGTACCTACGTGAAATATGCATCCAACTCTCTTCAAATTTCACACAGACAAACATTTTTTCCAACGCAAGATTTGTTATAAAGATGATATATATTTGCGAACCCCCTTCTGGGCCCACAACCACAAACGGTCACAATTGGCAATACTTTTATTTGACATAACTTACGAAACAAGTCAGCGATTCTTTACAGCTTGATATATCTAAATATTTCTCTCAACCACAGACCTGAGATGAATATTTAATTTATGATTTCGTATAAAATTGGATATAAATATTCGATTTTCTTGTAATTTTGCCCATATAAGTAGGAAAATAGGATACCCTTATTAAATTTAATGTCCTTTGGTAATATCGGGATAATTTGGGTTTGGTGACTATGCCAATATCTTTTGAATTTTTTACACTGATTTTGGGAATTTCTTTTTTGAGAATTATTCTGGCCTTTCCAAAATCGTGTCATATATGTTAATATCCCTGAAGTATTAGTTCAGAATTCTTGATTTAAAGATTTTCTCCTCTGGCATATGTCCGGCTACGCGCTTGAAAGTTTTCCAAATTTTCTATGTGGTCGGAGTTCAGCCAGGTAACTTGACATTCTCTTCAGGTGTATAGTGTACACTGAGGGAAAAATCCCGTTGCGAAATCAAGCACGTATGTTGTCATTTTCGCAACGACCCGTTGTTATATTTTTCAACAACGGCTGTTGGTGAATTGTGCACGAACGTGCTCAAATTGACACCGAGACGTGGTCAACTTTCGGTACCAACAACAGCCGTGCTTAATTTGTCCATTTGTAATATTGGTAATTGCAGCCGATTACACACGAGTAAAAAATGACAACGGTGGTGCATGATTCACACACGGTCGTTGTCAATATGACACCGGTCGTGTATGAATTATGCACCACCACCTGCATAATGATGCACCACCGTTGTTACTTTGTACACCGACGTGCATGAATCGTACACGATCGTTGCCATTTTAGCAACTACCGTGTATGAATCATGCACCACCGTTGTCATTTTTTTTACTCGTGTGCAATCGGCTGCATATTTACCATTTTTTCCGTGTTATTGAAAGAGAAAGGACGCATTGTGCAAAAAATTTATTGAAAATGAATAATAATTCGCAAGATCCTCAAAATATCATTGGTGAGTTGTTAGAAATCGATGGCAATATTGTTGTGGTTCGCGATACAAACCATTGCAGCAGTCAAGATGCGGAAAACAATGAGGACGATTATATGTTAAGGGAGTTCTTAAAAGGAATAAATATGGAGTCGCTTTTTGAACAATTAAAAGGTAAGTAAATAAAAATGAATTTTTCAGTTAATCAGTGTAATTAACAAAGAATTTTCTTTTTTGTTCTTTTAGCATCACATGTAACATTTCGCAGCTTGCAGTACTTGAAAAAAGAAGATTTAAAGGAAGCAGTGCCACCATTGGGACTGCGTGTTGAATTCAGAGAAAAGCTCTTTGCTTGGAAAAAACGAAAGGTACGTATTATTTGTTTTACAGAGTTGAACTCAGTATTAATATTGTCATAACAATAGCTCGGGATTGATGACGAAACTATGTCAGTTCCATCTAAAATAGGTGAATGGTGGAAACGCAACGAGACACCTGCAAGTACTCCTGGTACTCCCGACACTACAGGTTCGAACTGCTCAAAAGCCAAAGGAATTTTGTCAGAGGTAAGGTAAGAGTAATATTTGTGTAAGCATAGTTAATGTAGTTTTTTTATTTAATATAGGATCTAACGGAATTGTTAACACATACCTCGAAGGGGAAACTAGCGCTTGAATGTAGTAGCGTTAATAAGAAATTAAGTGACGAGCAAAGAGATGATATAATTAATATAATTATTGAAGATATTTTAACCAACAATGTTACTCTTTACACTCAAGACTATATGCGCATATTGGATGAAATTTGTTCCGTTTTTCCTCTTGAAAACGAAATGAGGGTAAGATTAACAATATAAACAACGTATCTGATTATGTAGTTTCTTAACTTATAATATGTCTTTATTTTTAGGATTATTATTACATTTCAAGAAAAGGAAAGAACAACGCAAGCGGAAAACTTTATGCCAAGTATAGAAACAAGAAGTCCAAAAGAATAAAGCTTTTGATTTCCGAGCCTAGCACAAGCAAAGCAGCAACTCACACATCTCCTAATTTTTGTAACAAAGATGTTCCCGAAATTGATGAATCAGTTGAAAATTCATTGAAAGCTTCCTTACTAAGAGAATGTAATGATTGGGGATCGATCTGCGAAAAATGGAAAAGATCCTTTAACATACGGCAAAGAGATATAAAAAATTTAAGTAGCCATACATTTCTCCTTGAATGGACGAAGTTGTCCGATGCAAGAGCTTCAGAATTGGTAAGTAGCCATGAGCTATTTATTTGTATATGGATACTAATGTTTCGTTTTAGGTCAACATTGATTTCGATATTATGTATCCACAGAAAGGCAATCTTCTACTTTCTAAATGGGACCAATTTAAGAAAAAAATTTACAATTATTATGGGAAAAATATTCATAACGAACATTGCAAACAACTCTTCGCAAATGTTTTGACGGCAAGCAGCATAGGTAAATTTTAATTCCTGATTTATCATAAACATTAAAAGTAATATTTATTTTATATTTCGGTTGCAGATGCTCAAGATTATATATACGCAATACTGTTGAATTCAGTTTTACCATCACCTGCTAGGTTTAAATGTGGAAACGGTAAATTACGAAAAAAAGTAACAATAGCTGATTCGCAGGAAAGTTTCGTACTGCGACTACCGACAATTAACGATTATAAAAGGCAAATTGATACAGTCACTGAAAAGTATTACAATGCTGGATTAACTATACAGCCATTTATAATTGTGGAGGGTTTGTCCGATTTCAATATAAAAGGTTTTTATGTTTTTTTAACCACAATTTGTTAAAATTTCAATCGTTCCTCGAATGTTTAGATACATGTTTTAAAATTTTTCATGCACTTTCTTTAAAATATCCAAATGCCTGCCAAATTCCATGGATTTTTATCCAAAAATATTTTTATGAAATTAATACTGTATATGATATAAAATCAGTTAATTTGACTTCACTTATTAATTTCTGCAACAATAATTAAAGTACAATTCAAAATGTATATTTGCTTTCGTTGCCGTAAGCATTTTGATAAGGCAAATCTTTTAATAGCTCATTTGAAAACAGACCATTTAATGTCCACTAAATTTTTAAAAGTACAATGCGTTCAGGACAACTGTAAGCAAACATTTACAAAATTTACGTCATTCAGAATTCATTTAGAAAAACTTCACAAGAATCACACAAAAGCTCCACCAATGGTTAAAGCCATTAATGTGCCAGTTGAAATGTCATCATCAAAAGAAAATGATTATACAAACAGTGAAACTGTTATTAACAACAATACAATAGAAAAGGATTTAAATGTTTTGAAAAAGAAAACCTTATATCTGTCTTTACAATTACATGGTCAAAGCTATATGCCTAGAAATCATGTTATAGAAATACAACATTCTGTTTCAATTCTGCTTTCATCCATTTCATGTACAATTGAAAAATATATAACTGATCATCCAAATTATGAAGACTTAAGGTACTTACTAAACTTTTGTAAAAATCCTTTCGAAGAAACTAGAACGGAATATAGACTTTTAAAAATTTTAAAAGAACTAAACTTTTATGATGATCCAAAGGTTTATGTAATTAGCAATCAAGTCTCGGAAATTGTTATCAGCGGAAATCCCAGTTTAGGTCCAAAGTTATCCAATATTTATATAATGCCACTGAAATTCATGATAAGTGCCCTTTTTAAAATTCCAAATCTCTTAGATTTGACATTAGAAAACTCCAAAAAATTCCTAAATTCACCTGTTTTACAAAATTTTACAAACGGTGAGTTATATAAAACTAAATTATTAAAATATCAGTACAATTTAGTTATTCCCTATGTCCTTTACATGGATGATTTTCAAATTAATAATCCTCTTGGAACCCATACATTTTCCATATGTGGTTGTTATATTAGCTTTCCTTCAATGCCACAGCACTTGTTGTCAAAACTTGATTATATATTAACTGCTGCGTTTATACCATCAAAGGATTTAAAAGAACGTGGAAATGAAGTTTCATTTCACAATCTTGTAGAAGAGTTAAAAATTCTAGAAGAAGGGGTTGAAATTTGTGTTCAACAAAGTGTTCAGAAGGTGCATTTTATTTTAGGTGTAATTATTGGAGATAATTTAGCAGTTAATAGTATTTTAGGCTACGTGCAATCATTTAACTCTAAAAGATTTTGCCGGGTATGTAGAAGAAAAAAGTCCCAAATGCAATTCGACGCAATTCAGCATTTAGATAGTTTAAGAAACCAAGAGAATTACAACTCAAATGTATTGGAAAATAATTTTCAAGAAACAGGTATTAAAAACAAGTGTATCTTCGAATCTTTACCAAATTTTAACGTCACTGAAAATTTTTGTTTTGATATTATGCATGACATTTTCGAGGGCATATGTGTCTACGATATGTCTAATGTAATTCTCGGGCTGATTCAAGAAAATATTGTTACGTTAGATTGTATTAACAGCAGAAAATCTTTATTCCAATTTGGAGAAATTGAAGTGGGAAATAAATCTGGACCACTAGATTTATGTAGATTGAAAAACTATAACTTAAAAATGACAGCTAGTGAAACTATGTGTTTTACTAATTTTTTACCTTTAATGGTAGGCGATTTAATTCCTTTCTCCAACGATCACTGGAAAGTTTTTATAATATTATTACAAATAATCGATTTACTTTTAAGACCAAGTTATATAGAAGACGATTTAATAAAATTGGAAGAATTAATTAGAGATCACCATTCACTTTATATAACATTATACGGTTCGTTAAAACCGAAACACCACTTTCTTGTCCACTATCCCACAGCTATCCGAAAATGTGGTCCCCTTAAATATCTCTGGAGCATGAGATTCGAAGCTAAACACAAGGAAGCAAAAGCCTATTTAGGAAATACTACATCAAGAGTAAATCCCTGTCGTTCATTATCTATTAAGTCTGGATTGAAATTTTCCAATTTTTTATTAAAACACGAAGATAACTTAGAACCAAATGTTATCATTAATACGCATACCATCGAAGATTTGGCAAAAGAGGAATATTGTTACAAAAAAAGTAAGCCAGTTTTAAATTACCAAAATTGCAAAGTGTCTGATGACATTTTTTTTAAGGGAACTAGGTATAAAAAAAACTATTATTTAGCAACAAATAATGCCGCAATTGAACTTTTCAAAATTAAACATTTAATAATTGAAAATGAAAATGTTTACATTTTATGTAACCAAGTAAAAGTTAAAAACTTTGATTACCATTTACAATCGTATGAAGTTGGTTCTCTGAATGAGGATACAATTTTTTTAATACCAATTTTAGATTTTATTACTTACCCATTTCACTTATATCCTATGAATAATGGAAAAGTTTATTTCAGATTTAAGTTAATTTAATTTGTTTCTATACATTGAATATATGTAATTCGAATTGTTTTGTTAAATCAAATATGTATTTATATTGAATTTATGTAATTGGTTTCGTTCAATAAAATACTTTTCAAAAAATGTCGTTTCTTCTACTAAGGGTATAAAATGGAAAAGGAACGGATATCAAAAAATGACCACCATTGATTTCAATCTGACAACGGGCGTTGACAATCCGACAACGGAGCGTTGACAATCTGACAACGAAGCGTTGACGATCTGACAACGAAGCGTTGACAATCTGACAACGGGGCGTGCTCGAAATGACCACGTATGTGCTCATTTCATGCACATCTGTTGTTGAAATCGTTGCCAAAATCTCGGTGTCAAAATGACAACAGCGTGCTCATTTTGACACCAAACGTGGTTGATACACTATCATACACGGATGTGGTCATTTCATACACGGATGTTGTCATTTTTTCTCTGGGTGTATTAACTTCAATAATTTTCTCTAAGTATCCTTTGCATTTTATATCTCAAACCTAGGTACAAGCCATTGGTCCAAGTATAAATAATAGAATTACGCGTTTCCATAATATCATGAAATATAATGTAGCACTTTTTTACTTTTCGTTCTCAACACACCATTTCAATTTGGATGCATGGCTATTAAGAAATTCATTGAATGGAATTCCCACTCACTTCTTTTATAAAAATTCTTTCATACAATATTTCATACAGTTACAAAGGAAATAACATACTGAATATACCCCCTCATATATCATAGTGAAAGGTAATAAAGCACAAGAAAAAAATTACAATTACATCTGATCGTGTATACACAAATACATACATACATAAATACACATACTATAAAGATTCATTTACGGCCAATTTGTATCCGCAACATACTAACCTCTCATATAAATGTAAGCCGTTCCACGCATATTCCGCCTCGTCAATACGATGAGATTGAGGACATTGCCAATGATACCCAGCGCACAGATGATGGGCAAGATTATACCGTACGAATATTCCCGCAATGCCTCGGTGCGCGGATCCTGGAAGAAGAAGAGAAGAAGAAGAAGAAAAATATCAGGAAGTACATGACAACAACAGGAAAATTCAAATGTCAACATTAAATATGTATTACGTATTGATATGGAATCAAATATTAAGCACAAGTGGAAAAATAACAAATAACAAAAAAGAAAAAGAGAAGGAGAGAACAAAAGGAAGGAAGACAAATTTGCAATGAAAATGTAGTGATTAAAGGAAATATGTTCATGTATTGTTATCACTTGTTTGTGTGTGTGTGTGTTGGTTTGTTCGTTTGTTTGTCTGCTGTCACCGAATTTCATGTAAAATTTGTGTAAATGTTACAAAAACAATGTGTTATACATGAAATGAGCCGTAAACGTAAAAACATATGTCAGACAACCAACCGTCCGGTTGTGTGAATTCTTAGGAAAAATATTTTATTTTTATTATGATAGATGTGTGTGTTCATATGTGTGCATAAAACTTGATATGGGTCTTTCCACACAGTATTTATTTTGTATTACAGAGGTAGTTGTAACGGGTAAAAAAGATGAAAAAATCGGGCAAAAGCCTACTATAAGATACCCTACACCACTACGAAAAGTTAATAGAGCTACCTGTATCAAATAAATGTTTATATTTGTAATTTTTGTGAAATAGATCAACTATGGGCCACTTTTGAATCAGTATTATGGCTTTAGATCAGCTATAATTTGAAAATTCAGGGAACTAAGAAGTTAGGAGGTATTTCCAAATGTCAATTGCACTTCTCGTGCCAAAAAATTGCGGTAAAGTGCTTGCTGTGATTTCGAGAAAGACAAGTTAAAATGTACCAGTCGGTTGTGTCGACAGATATATACCCCCAGCTTACGTCTGATAATAAAATACATATGAACTTGATTATTCAAAATTTCTACCCCTCATTGGGATGCTACCAAAAGAAAGGGCCAATATTTTCAAGTCCGCATATGATGTAAGTCTGATATAACTATAGCGACGTGAATGGTCAGGCCTATATCAACTACTTCTTCTCCTTTACTTATTTTCAGTGGGATTAATTGGATATCAGCATTTAATATATTGGCTTTTGCACCACTTTGTACATGCATACAGGATGAGATAAAAAAACTGCAACGAAGTCAAACGCCATAATTTTTACATTTTATTTTCATTTTTTTTTTTTGAATGAAAGCAAAAAATGTCGGAAATAGCACCACATTTTAGAATGAGTTTAGATTTGTTTGAATTGGTCACCTTTGACACGATTTATGGCCCGAATGTTGCTCTGCGGTATTTTGGTCCACTCCTGGCGAAGCGCTTCCTTGAGGTGATCGACGCCTTGGTATTTTTAAGTGCCAAGCTGGCTTTCCAAAATACTCCAGAAACAATTGTGCGCTGAAAATAAGCCAGGAACCTCATTTTGTAACCATTCTTGGGTGGCGCGAGCTGAGTGCGATGGTGCTGAGACCTGTTGGAATGTTCTAGGTCTGCGGCCAAAATATTTGCGTGCCCAAGGTTTTAATACACCCTCCATATTATTTTCGCGATAATATTCGACATTTATGCTGATGCCACGGTCGATTAATACGAGCGGAGAGCGACCATCGGCTGTTATGGCGGCTCACACAATCACCATGACCGGCGCTTGAGTTCTGGCGCTTGAGTCCAACCATTTTCAGCTGACCTCTTTGGCAAGTAAACACGATCAATTTGTTTGTTTATAAACTGGTGGACAACGAATGTTTTCTCATAGGAGAAAACCAAATTCGGCAGTTCACAACTTTCGGCCAAGCGAAGCAACTCTTTAGCTATTTTCAGTATATTTTCTTTCTGTGTAAGTTCGTGCACTTTTTGGAATATCAATGGCTTTACCCCGAGCTCATTTTTCAATATTTGCCGAATGAAATGTTGTGATATGTTCAGCTTACGACGCGGGTTTCGATCAAGTCGCTTCTTTACTTTTCGAACCTTTCTGCTGATGTTGCTGTTTTTTTAAGTCCACTTCCTTGACTTCGGGCTACGCTACCAGTATCACGGTAACGAGTGAGAAACACGGAAACGAGAAACAAAAGATTTATTCCAGCCAAATATAAAGAAAGCAATCTATCACGCTTGAATACCATCACGAATAACTTTTTTCTGGAAAATTCTCACCAAAATGCTTTTGTACTCTTGTAAACAATGTAAGAAGCTGTCCCTGGAATAATTTTAACAGCTGTCGGATAAGTGGCTTAGAAATGACAGCAGTCTGAATTTGGTTGCAGTTTTTTCATCTCACCCTGTATGTAGACAGACATTCTCCAATTTTTTGGCTGTAATTGAGACATTAGGGACCAATCGTAAAATTTATAGCATTTCTGATGATTTTGGACCTTTGTAGTGAAGGTACCACAAGGAGTGGTCCGATATATTTCTTATTCACACTAGATATTGTTTTGATATAACTATAAGTATGCATCAAATAATCGAGTGATAATTTCGTTTTTCATGAGCTTTATGGTTATTCGAAATTTCGACCCGTTGTGGGGGAGATATCAGAAGTGAACCGATATCTAACATCTTCACATCAGATCTCGTTTTCTATAAATATTGGAATGTGTGAAGCTTAGAATAAATCAGTTGCTTATTTAGCATTTTATGACAGATACAATTCTTCAAAAATTGTTGACCATTGTGAAAGAGGTACCTCGTCTTCACATCCGAGCTTGTGCTGATAGAAATGTTGAGAAAATTTTTGACCCTTTGTGGGGTAGGTGGAGACCGATATCGTCAATTTTCACACCCAACCTAGCACTGATACAAATATTAAGATTTACAATATTTGAACATTGAATTCTCCCTTCTGGTTCCATGATTTGATTTTTTTCTATGGAAACTTTGACCTTTTGCAGGGAGGTAGTGGAAGGAGTGGACTAATATTTCGCAATTTTCGAGCTTGATCAAGGTTTGATAACAATATTACTAAATGGCAAGTTTGGATCAAATCGGATTATCCCTTTGAGAGATGAGACACGTTTTGGCCGTATCAAATGATATAAACCCTCTGTAGCCATATGGCTGAGTGTATAAAATGTGTATTTGCTTCTTGCTTGGCAGAGGTATTTCTGAGTTATATCTGATATCTTGTACCAAATATAATTTTTATAGAGTGCCTATTACGAAAGCGAGGAACTTAAACATTATATCTGATGAAGCATATATATGGGAGGCTTTAGTTCCCAATTATCCGATTTTCAATCAATTTCTAGTACATGCTTTTTCCTGAAATCGGTTGGATGTGCCGAAATGTATCCTATTTGGACGAATTTTACACATATGCTGTACAATTAAATTCAAATCAGTCGGAGATATATATGGGAGCTATATCTAAACTTAGATCGATATTCACCAAAATTGGCGCATATGTTTAGGCCCTGTACTTTAAAGTTTATCTAATTCGGACTTATATTACGAACTTGGCACAAAATGCTTATGAAACCGCACGCCGTAAAATTTTATCTCAATCGCACTAAAATTTTGACCTTCATATTTTTCAACAAAATATATGAAAAGGCAGATGGACGGACGGACGAATATTCATAAATCGACTCACAAAGTGATTCTATGAGGATTCTCAAAAATAACCTTCTTCATGTTACACACAAAGGTGTGAGGGATAAAGAACCATCTCCTAAGGGAAAACTTTATTTCTGGTATAAATTTCTCGATTATAATAGGAATAAAATCTTATTTGCTATGTGAAATAATAAAGCACAGATATTTCCCTGTCAACGTTCTGAATTATACATAGTCTTTCTCGTACAATACCCATAAATTCATAAAAGAACGATTTGTCACCATACAAAAAACAGCCGCGTCCTATAAACCTTTGCACACACACACACAAATTCTCTGCAACATTAATTTATATCCTCCATAATTTAAGAATAACTTATTCCAAACTTGTAATAACTTTCGTTGTTAATAAAGAAAAACGGATTTACACGCTTAACACAAAATTTGCCAATAACCGAAACATAAAAAATTATTAATACCATAAATAATTTGAAGATAATTTTCAAATACCTTAGTCGTAAGAGCCGACATAAATATTAATTAAGTGGCGAAAAGTCTATTCTTCTTTAAGGTTGAACTTTTAATGAGTAAATAAGTCGTTAATATTAGGTAATCCTTATATTAAGTCATATATGTATACGAAAGTGTAACAATGAAAAGAGCTCTAGCATAACAAGGAGAACAACATAACAAGGATTAAAAGTAAGCTCAAAGTAGCAAACAGAAGGATTAGACAATATTGTGTAAAACAAATGACACGTGAATGCTGAAAGGGAAAGTTTCGTAACGAAGGGATTGTTGTTTTTTATAACAGCATAAAAATTTATAGAGAATTTTAATGTGTAATTTTTATGAAAAATATTTTTATGGTAGTATATTCCAATTTTTAATAACGTTTAAAATAATTGTATATATCAGATTGTATAAAAAAGGGGTAATATGAGCTTTTAAGCCTTTAATATTTGAAGAGAATGGTATTGTGTGAACTCAATGACTCGACAAATCGGCGGTGTCATTTTCAATTGTTTCATAACCCGTTTTTTACTAAATGAGATATAGGTAAATTTAACGACCTTTTAATAGGGCCCGAGCTCCCTCCAAAATTGAAAATTCTATTTTATGTTTTAAGCAATTTTGCTTGAAAATCGCATGTTTTGTCGGCCCTTTCCTTACTGATTTTAATAAGTCGTTTTATAAGATGCTCTACCTAAAAAGTTTTCCCGTGTCTTGTAGAAGTACTAGAATCATACATATTTCGAGGAGCTCTGGAACTATTTATTTTCAATATTTCAAGTGTGAACACCAGCGACCCCGTGGTGTAGAACGAAATGCTCAATTTTATGTATATTCAGAATTTTACCTGCCATATGTTTGCCATTCCGTTTGTAACATCTCGAAATATACATTTTAAAACTTACAAACTATACACACAGGATGAGATGAAAAAACTGCAACCAACTTCAGACTGCTGTCATTTCTAAGCCACTCGTCCGACAGTTGTTAAAATTATTCCCGTGGCAGCTCATTATATCGTATACAGGCGTATAAAAGCATTCTGGTGGAATGTTCCAGTTATTCGTTATGGAATCCAAGCGCGATTTCTTTTTATTTGGCTGGAAAACCACAAGTGGCTATCGTTAGAGCACCCCAGCATTTAAATGTGAATAAATCTTTTGTGTCTCGTACCATCGCTCGTAACTGTGATACTGGTAGCGTAGCCCGACGTCAAGAAAATAGCAACATCAGCAGAAATGGTTCAAAAATTAAAGAAGCGACTTGGTCGAAACCCCCGTCGCAGTGGCCGAAAAATGGTTTGTGAGCTGAACATATCGCAATATTCCTTTCGGCAAATATTGGAAAAATGAGGTCGGGGTAAAGCCATTGCAATTCCAAAAAGTGCAAGAACTTATACCGCAACAGAAAGGAAATAGACTCAAAAGAGCTAAAGAATTGTTCGCTTGGCCGAAATTGGTGAACTGCCGAATTTGGTTTTCTTCGATGAGAAAACATTCGTTGTCCAGCAGTTTGTAAACAAAATGATCGTGTCAGCTGAAAATGTGCACCTTCGGTTGGCCACCAGAACTCAAGCGCCGGCCATGGTGATGGTTTGGGCCGACATAACCGCCGATGGTCGCTCTCCGCTCGTATTAATCGACCATGGCATCAAAACAAATGCCGAATATTATCGCAAAAATATTCTGGAAGGTGTATTAAAATCTTGGGCACGCAAATTTTTGGCCACAGACCTTGGACATTCGCACAGAACTTCGCCTTCGAACTCAGGACGCGCCACCCAAGAATGGTTACAAATGAGGTTCCTCACTCCAGTTCAAACAAATCTAAATTTATTCTAAAATTGGATGAATGTTTGAAGATGTAAAATTTGAAAATGTAAAACTTTTGGTGTTTGACTTTGTTGCAGTTGTTTTATCTTACCCAATATGGCGATTATAGCAAGAACTGGACTGATATGGCCCATTATTTGGACCAATGAATCTTGAAGTAATCCAATATTCTCAGTCAAAATATTGGGTTTACTTAGCATATGGAATATACTCCTAACAGCTCGTCTAGAGATAAAGACTCACTCTAAGCTGGTGCATAGATATAGACTCCCTTTCAGCTGCAGCACCCTGCCTTTGAGCTCCCCTAAATGTAGGCTTAATTTGGACTCGTATATAAATCAAAACAAATAAGAAATAAGATCATGCTAGAGCGACCAAGAGATACCCTACAACACTATATTGGTCGGGTTATTAGATCCAAAACTTATTTGGTTTTTGAAATAATGCAACAAAATATTGCAGAATCTTAATTAAAAACTTAGTTTCCCCTATACTATATATCTCTGATATTTGGCTATATTCGTCAACAAATCAGCATCTACATAAAGGTCAGAGGTGCGTCTTTCATGTATGTGTGATTTTGGTAATGCTGGTATTTTTTCAAACAAAAGTTGTGTTCCCTTTTACATGTGGTGTCCGTTGGAATTGCAATTTTTTAATTTCGAAAAAAGGGAAAGGTGTGCTGAATTGTGTCATATTTATGCTCAATTGTGCCGATATTCGAAAAAAATTCTGAGACAAACGGAAAAAGATTTTTTCAAAAAAAAAAAAAAAATTTAGACAATTGCAATTTTCGAATTCCGAAAAAAAAATAAATTTGTGCCTTTAATTTGTTTTTTATATTTCTTAGCAAATTCGAAAAAAACCATAATTTCGATAGCATTTCAGAATTGCAATTTTTGAATATCGAAAAATGCTAGCACAAATCAGCACAACTTTTAGTTTTTTCATATCTTGTTTTTAAATATGCGATATTAATTTTAACGAGTAACGAGTAGATGTACAAATTTCCAATGTATGGTGAAAAAATTGTGCCAGGTGAGCACAATTCTGCACAACTTGCAGATTACAAAAATTCCACATTTTACAAATGTTATACAGTTTTTTTTTAATTTTTTAGCGAGTTACGAGTAAAGGTAGAAATTCGTACTAAGTGAGCCCAACTCAAAACAATTCACTGCATCTAAAAAAAATTGCAGCGGTTTTTCTAAAAAATACTGATTTTTTCGCAATTGCAATATCATGAAAATGGTTTAAGATATTGAGAAAACATAAATAAAACAAGCACAACTGTTATTTTCTCGAAATTGGAAAATCGCATTCTTTTGAAATTATTGTTCATTTTAATTCGGTAAGAGAAAAAACTTTAACGGCACAAATAAGCACAAACCGAATACAATTCAGCACAACTTTATTTTTTTTTTCGAAATTCAATAATTGCAATTCTCTCAGATTTTGCGATTTTTGAATATTGCAATTCCAACGGTAACCACATCAATTTTACCCGCTGAACACAAATGCTAGGATTCAAAATGCTAGGATTTTACCCTGTCCCATGTGAAATTCCATGTCAATTCACCTCTAAGTGTGACCTGTAAATCGACTGCAAAATCAGGAGAATTTTCATTTTGGGCCCATTTCATCCTAAATATTTTGCGAACACATTAAAAACAATATCCTTCTATGACCATTCAAAATGGTAGGCTTCTGCCCAGCCCTTTACCCCTATGAAAAATTCCATATCGATTATTGTGACCTGCAGAGCAACCACAAAGCCCGAAAATTTGTCTGTTTTCAACCCATACAAAATTTGCAAACATCTCGAATAGACTTATATTCTCACTGCAATATGCGACATACATAGCTAGATCGACTCAGCTCGGCGAAATAGGAAGACCAATATTTGGAGGTGTTAAAACAATGTTTGCCCCAATCAAACTTGAGTTACCCCCAACAAAAGCTGGTGTAGGGTGTCAAAATTAATTTTCTTCGTGTTTTACCTACCCGAACTATCTATATTCCCCTTTTGCTCTTCTATAAATAGGATTTCTTGAGGCTCGTCTATAATGAGGAACAATTTTCATTTTTATTTCTTTCAAACTCACCTCATTTGTTATATAAAGATCATCGCGTAAATTATCACCCACACTTATGGAACCAGCATTATTTGTCACAATATTGCCAACGGCCGTAGCACCATTTATAAAACTTCCCGCCGCAGTTGCAGCAGCAGCGGCAGAAACACGATTGTCCACAAGAGTCTCTGAGGCGCCCGAAGAAATGATATTGTGAGATGTTGAGGCGGCTGTGATGGCCTGACTGTCATTCTCGTGTACAACAGGCGTTACGGTGAAATTACCACCCCAGATTATCGAACACAAGGCCGGATCCTCTTCAGTTGTATAGAGTTGTGTTAACATAGTTTAAGGTCTAACCTTTTCTTTTGTTACAATTTGTTTTGTTTTTTTTTTCTCTCTTTTTTTTTACAATTTCACTTGAGTCCGGATATGGAAGAAATTACCGGACTGCAACACAATAAAACTCATGAAAAATTAAATACAATCAGGTAAAGGTGTTAATAAAACGCAAACTTCTTCATCAGCAGGAACAGAGAAAAAAATGAACAACAACAAGTCCCATGTGTGTCTCGAAATGTCGTTATCAAGCGGAAACAGTTAAATCGCCAACGGAAACGAAAGAACCCCGTTGCATGTTCATGTGCTGTCGATGCTTGTCTGTCTGTCGTGTTTCTTAGTTTTTCATTCACTTATTGTTGAGTTGTGTGTTTTTTCTTTTTGTCTTTCTTTTTTTTCTTGTTTTAGTTCTTAATAAATTTAGTTGAAAGAAGACAACAGCAGCAACAAAAAAAAGTGCCAAAGACTTAACTTTTAATTAACCACTTTGAAATGTTGTTTACTTTTGTTGCATCTGTTGTTCTGTTCGGTTCCGTTCCGTTCAGTTTCTTCCCATCAACTTTCTGCTGGCTTACACTTTAGTTTTTGCAATTTTTTTTCACTTGCTTTTTTTCTTCTTCTTCTTCGTAGTCTCTGTGTGTTTCTGTCACTATTTTATTTGCTTTTCACAGTCACAGCCACGATGGTATAGAATTTCTTTCATGCTCCTATGTTCGTTGCATTTGATTTCTGTTGTTATATATCGCTGTTGTTGTTGTTGTTGGTGGTAGTGGCAGTGATTGTTGTTGTTCTTGCTAGTTTCGCAACGATGGCCTTTGGCAGTAGTAAAGACTTGGGAATTTTTTTGCCGGCAGTGACATCCGTGTTGATGATGGGTGGTGGCTGAGGTGGTGTTAAAGGAACAAAAATAGTTACTGCAATTGGTGCTGGTACTGACGTCGCTGCTGCTGAGATTATAAATCGTAGCCAAAAGTCTCGATGAGTTTGTTAGTGTAAAAATCGCTTGCAATACACTCTGTTTGCTGGCAGCAACGCGGCACCGTTGCTTAGTTAACATTTTATAAATCACCTGTTCCAGTCTCTAACTACGTTTTTCGCAACGTTTTTCTCTCTCGCCTAAATGCCGAGGACACAAATGATGATATTTTCCGTGACGTTAATGCAGAGTTTTTTTCACATAATTAAACAACCTGCAAAGAAACAAACGGGTAATGTTGATAAAGGATTTTGTGAAAAAGTTAATTTTTGCTGTAGTACAGAATATTTTAAGTAGAACTTTTTTTGGAATTAAGCAGAGATAAGATTATGTTATGTGAGATCGTGTCATTTGTGAGTTTTATGGTGCAGAACCTGTTAGTCTTATTGAAGGAATTATAGAATTAAATTCCTATTAGTTCGGTAATAACATTCAATAACGGTCAATGGTTTGAATATAGTTGTTATCATGTCACAATCCAGCTCTGAAAGTTCCATTACTGGATATTTTTTTAAAGAAAATCAAAGAGGTCAAAAGTCAAACGGGGCAAAAAATATGATACCCTATACCATTATGCCAAGTTACGAAAAATACCGAAATCATCGAAAATCTCTCAAGAAATTTGAAAATTTTGTTTAGCTCAAAGGGTACATAAATAAGGAGAATTGTCGATTTTGGAGTGAAGGTCAGCCAGGAGCAATGCATCCAGAGAAAGTCACAGTTTGGTGGGGTTGGTGGGTGTGAGTTGGTGGTATCATTTCACCGTACTTCTTCAAAGATGCTACGAATCGTAACGCAAATCGTAAAGGTGAATAATTTTTGGCCAAAATGCTTGAATGGAATATGGTTTAAACAAGACGGTGCCATCCACTCAGCGAGCATAACAATGGAAATATTATTTTACGTTCGGGCGCCTAGACCATGTGATTTTTTGTGGAACAATGTAAAAGCGCATATCTTTATAGACGAGTTCACTTAACTCATTGGAAGACAATGTAAAGCATTTTTTCGTGAGATACCGACCGAGATGTTGGAAAGAGTATGCCGATATTAGACTAAACGGGTGGACCTGAACCATTTTTTTAACTTTTATTCTGAATTTTATGTTTTTTATACCCAACACAACGCTATATGTTGGGGGTATTATAAGTTTGATCTCTACAGGCTACAATTATAAACCAATCAACACGAAATTTTGCATGAAGTTAGAGTTTAGAGAGCAGTAGCCCTGTAAGGTCATCAGACAATATTTAACGGGTAAAATAAAGCATAACTTTTATTCCAAAAAATACGAAAATTTTCACTAAACCGCGGTTGTTTGTAATGCCGGCCAAAACATAAATACATTAACAGCTCACTTCTGACCATAATAGTGGTGCTGATAGCCATTATATGGGTTATATGTATGACAAAAGAGAGGGTGAGATGAAGAACCTTCAACCAAATTCAAACTGCTGTCATTTCTAAGCCATTCGTCCGACAGCTGTAAAAATTATTCCAGTGACAGCTCATTATATTGTTTACAAGCGTACAAAAGCATTTTTGTGAGAATTTTCCAGAAAAAAAGTTATTCGTGATGAAATTCAAGCGTGATAGTGTGATTATTTTTTCTGATATTTGGCTGGAAAACAACATGTGGTTATCGTTAGAGCACTCCAACATTTGAATGTGAATAAATCTTTTGTGTCACGTACCATCGCTCGTTACCGTGATACTGGTAGCGTAGCCCGACGTCAAAGAAGTGCACGGAAGAAAACAGCAATATCAGCCGAAATGGTTCGAAAAGTAAAGAAGCTACTTGATCGAAAGCCGCGTCGCAGTGCACAAAAAACGGCTCGTGAGTTGAATATATCGCAATATCCCATTCTGCAAATATTGAAAAATGAGCTCGGGGTAAAGCCATGAAATTCCAAAAATGTGCCAGAACTTACACCGCAACAGAAAGAAAAAAGAGTAAAAAGAGGTAACGAGTTGCTTCGCTTGGTCGAAAGTGGTGAACTATGGAATTTGGTTTTCTTCGATGAGAAAACATTTGTTGTCCAGCAGTTTGTAAACAAACTAAATTATCGTGTTTACATGCCAAAGAGGTCAGCTGAAAATGTGCACCTCCGGTTGGCCACTAGACCTCAAGCGCCGGCTATGGTGATGGTGTGGACCGCCATAACAGTTGATGGTCGCTCCCCCTTCGTATTAATCGACCGTGGCATCAGAATAAATGCCGAATATTATCGCCAATATATTCTGGAGGGCACGCAAACAGACCTTGGAAATTGCAACAGGACTCAGCACCATACCACTCAGCACGCGCCACCCAAGAATGGATACAAAATGAGGTTCCTCGCTTCATTTCCAGAGCACAATGGACAACAAAATCTCCGTTTACCAATCCGTAGGACTATTGTGTCTGGAGAATTTTCGAAAGCAAGGTTGGCACTTAGTTCGAAGATGGGTTATGCCCCCCCCCCCCCAAATATTCAGTATTTTGATGATTGTGCCCAATGAAATTGTCTAAAAATCCACAACTGGGGTTCATTTTAAGTACTTAACCCCCCGGGAGAGTATTGTCTATATAGATTCGCGATATCGTATAGACCCCATATTACGATAGCTCCCAATATTGGGTATTTTAATGATTTTAGTCACATTTTTTAATGGAATTATCTGAACTTCTACATAAGGAGTTCTTTATCAGTACTTTATCCCCTGTAAGAGATTTGGTATTTTGATGATTTCAAGTACAATATTCACCGGAATTATTTCAAATTTCGTATTTTAATGTTGTGGCAAAGGTGGCCTGTGCAAGTAAACGTCTTCGTATGGGCTCCAATTTAGCTTGATCGATCAATAGTAACAGTTCAAACCAGCCCCACTTTACAAATACATATGCTAGTGAGATCGATTGAAGAATGCAGCTGAAGTTTAAACAAAAAATAAATAATAAATTAAGTTAAACAAGTAAGCAAAGGCTATAGTCGTGCGGGGCCGACTATGTGATACCCTACAACACTTCAATATGCTAGAAGCCCCCTTATGTCCAAATCCAAATTACAGAAGATATCGCTTTTGAAATAATGTCACGTAAAAGTAATGGTCCATTCAACCCGCTGTCCTAAACTCTAACTTCATGGGAGATTTCATCCCCTTTGGTTTCAATTTGTGACCTTTATAACGGCTGCAAAATCAGGAACATTTCTAGTTGTTGGTCCATTTCAACCCCCAAATATATTGCGGTCATCCTTAAAACCAATAGGCCTAGCCCTTTTGAGCCTAACCCTGCACTCATGAAAATTTTCATAAGGATTGGACGATAATTGCAATCTGTATATAATAACCCCAACCAGTGTTGTAAGCTGAAAAAATATTACAAAATATACACTCCAATATTATAAGTCAAATTGAAAAAATTGCATGCGATAAAAAATATGAAAAATAAAAAAATGTCACAAAATACTACAAAATCTATATTAACATCACAACTGGTATTTTTTATGCGATTTTTTTAGATTTTATGCTTTTATGTCAAGAGGGCATTCTGAATTGGCAAAATTTGCCAAAATCGGTCCGGCCATTCGTGAGATATAAGCATTCTAGCTAACATCCCCTTCCTTTGTATATACACATTGTATATATTTCGCTATATATATCCGATATATTTACTATCGGCATCGACGTAACGGTCAGAATTGACCCGTTCGTCTATTTGTGATTTCGTCTGGATTAAAAATATTCGCGGTTCAATGGAAAATTTGACTTTTATTTAACACAAAAGTTGTGGCCTATTTCACCCACTAAATATTACCCGATGACCATCAAAATTGGAAGACTTCGGCTCAGCCCTAAGCTCTAGCCCCATGTTAACTTCCGCTTTGATTGGTCTATAATTGCGACCTATAGAGCAACTGCAAAATCAGGAAAATTTTCAGTTTTTGGTCCATTTCAACCCCGAAATATTATGCTATCATCTCCAAAAGAAATAGGGTTATATTCTGACCTTAACCCCACCTACATTTTAAATTTCGTGAGGATCGGACCATAATTGCGACCTGTAGAGTGATTAC